AAACAGCATACGGCCCCCTTCTCAGATCGACTAGCAAATTCCCCCCACTGGAAAGTTCAATCGTAAGACGTGCCCTGGCGTCAGTGACCAGTAGCTCTAGGAAGCGTGCTCCTTTGTAACCGCTAAGGGGCTTTAGAGTTCTTTGTATCCCTAGTTTTTGTGAGGGAAAGAATCGTGCAGAGGTAATAGAGTATCCTTTAAACCCACTTGGGTTGAGAAAGGTAGCATAATTCCTAACTTTCGTTTAGGATAAGACAACCTCAAAACAAGAGCATGTTAACGATCAAGCTCTGGTTCTAAAGTTACAAATATCAAGTTCCTGATTTTAACAACTGCCGACGATAAATTTATGGGCTGTTTTATGTGACGCATTTTAAACCAATAGAAATTGAGAGGTTTTGAATTAAGAACTTATTGGTGACGTATTCCGGTAACTACTCGAAGCTTGTGAGAAACGTCGCAAACTCTTGATTCTTGATAAGAAAAAAAGAACATGACGAAGGGGAAACCGGTAAACTTTGGTCGCGGGCGAATTCGTACGAGTTGTCTCATTAACCACTTTGGTGAACTCGTCCAAAATCGCATTGGAGCAACACGAATTCTCATCGTTATCCTTTATTGTGAGGCTTTATGTCAGTTTGTTGATTTCTAGATCTTCCTTCTTTATCAACTGCTAGTTTTCAATCTTCAGTCAGTTTGCGCCTTCGATAAGAGGCGGTCGCACTGTGTTTTCAGTGGCAGTTCCGTTTTATTTTTCTTACTTGTCCCATCTAACGAAAATAGATATGGCACCGATGGCGAATCCGGCTCCATCCACTGAGAAAATGGAGGTTGACGAACCGGCTAAAGTTGAGGAAAAAGAACCACCAAAGGATCTCAATGCAATCGCAGTGGAAAGTAGGTTTTATTGTTCTGTCTGACTGTTGTACTAATATGTGCTTGTTTTTCTTCTCTTGTCGTTTCAATGTTTCTCTGTGTAGATATCAAAGAACACTGTGCTTTACTCGACAAGGGTGATGTGCATTTTGTGGGACGTGTTCTACAGGTGGTGCACAAGACAAGGAAGCAGTGCAACGCTGAAGTGAGTTCCAGCTTTCAATCTTTGCTTTTCTAAGCACAAGAATAACTTGCCCAGGAATTAGCAAAGAATGCGTAGACACACTTCGGCTTGGGGGGCCTTTTGCCCCTTCGCTACTTTCCATTGTCTTCTCGAACCATCGTGGCCATTGAGCAGAGATCTGTGAGATCCTGTCCAGTCATGAAGCGATGTCAGTCAAAGTTTGTAGAGAGTGCTTGTCAAAGCTTGTAAACAATGAACAAGGCGGTGGGCTCAAGCCGAATTGCTCCAAAACCTGACGACGACTGAATGACGATTGTCTCATTTCTACACCAATTTCAGTAGCTGGTTTAGGTTTTGCATCGCCTACTTGCAAGTCAGCTAACCGCACCATCGTTACACAAAGATGCCCTTCTTGCATGGGTTCCGTGCAACATTCCCGTGGCCATGGAGGTGGATACAAAACTTGCTGCTCCCTCGTCTACACAGATATCCTCCTCTACAAAGTGAGTTCAGAATGATTTTAAGGCAAAGCGCGGCTGTTTTGAGAACGTAAGAGGGCAATGCATGAAAACTGCGCCGTTCCTGTATTGGGAAGAGTCAAATCAATTAGTTTCTTTCTGATCTACTCAGTGAATTCTGCTCAAGTCTCACTGAGCTCTCGCTGAACATTAGAGTTGTAGTAGCTAGTGGTTCAAAAGTAGTGGGCACGATTGCCGGAGGCAGGTGGTTTCTGCCAAAGTCATTGGTGGAAAGGCTAGGGTGTAGCCGGCCAAACGCTTTCTCGCAGTCCAGCTACCAGTGGTTGGTAGTGACCGTCCGCCCCCAAGCCATCATGCCGACAGCATTTGAATTCACTCATTGAAGTGGCGTATCAGCAAAAGAAATGATACGCAACATACGATTAGGCATTGTTCACATTCTACGACCTTGCGGAGTCAGCGAAAGATGTGCATCCGCAAAAGCTGTCGATAATTGTCGACGGGATGGACCAGCAGACCGAGCGGGCAAATCCCGCGCCATCGCAAAGTGGTTTAGATTCGTAACGATTGGGAGAACTGGCAAAGCAAGCGAGCGATGTAGGCTACTCGTCCAATCTCGCATTCTTCACTTAGGCGGTGCTAGCGAAGTCGATTGGTTTGTAACCCTTTTCGTGAAAACGTAGGATTTGCCCACTCAGTTCACAATTCTACTATCGGTGCTATCGCAACCTTTTCGCAGGTGCGCTGAATTCCCACAGAACAATGTTTTTGTGTCAACTGAAAAAATGAGCAAATGTGACATATAAAACTGACGTGCAATCACTTTTTAACAGATTACTCAACACATCAGACTTTATGGGGTTGCCGTTTATACAAATAAGCAACTTTTTTTCGGAGTTTCCTGATCCTCCAGTTTGGCGCAAGCAACTGAAAGGGGATACTCAGTAGCTGGGGTCTAAACGGTTCACAACTTTTCTTTGTGGCGAAAGTTCGTTTTCTTCGGCTCATTGAGAGTTCTTCATTATCCGACAAAGACATACTAGGTGGAGATATAGCATGTTGGCTGCGTGTGCTGGGGCGTGCAGGGGACTGGATCTGGCGCAGCGCCAAATCCGTTTCCTCCGGTTGTTGGGGTATCGGTTATATCAGTCGTTTTCCATCAATCATTGTCGCTTATCCCCTCCAACAACTGATGAAGAACGAGCTGGCGACGCGCCGCACCCAGGCTCACTGAAACGCCCTATCATCCGCGGCAAACAAAACTGCTCATTGGGATACTCTGTGCAAGAAGGGGACTTAGTTCTGACAAAGTGTACTGTAATACTTTGGAATTCATACATTGTTTACTCCTTCATTTTTCCGGAAAAAGCCAAATCAGATGAGACACTATACAAACACTGCGCAGTGAATTCTCAGTGCACTCTTGATTTTCATTTCTGTACTTTTTATGCCAGTTTATGTCCGCAGCGGTGACAGGAAACCCTCAGTTATAAATGTTCTCGATTCCAGATCTCCTCGCCCAGTTCGCAAAGTAACTGCTCCTTCTCCCGAATCAGAAATTTACATTCATCTTCTTGTTCTTCTTCATCTGGTAGATGGGAATAAATTAGACGATGCAAAGAAATGTGCAGAGATGTTGATTGCTCGTGGTTAGTTTCTTGCCCTTTTTCTCTGGAGGTGAGGAAAAGTTTTCTTTTTGTTTTCAGCTGACTCAATTGATAAGCGGTCTCTTGATCCTATGGTAGCAAAGGCTATTTTCTACCTTGCTCTTATTTACGAGCGGCAACATAAGTTGCATGAACTCGGCTGGTGAGGATTTTTACTGACCTGTCTGTGCACGCGCTTCATTACCATTTCTACGTACGCGTCCCTTTGCATCATGGAGAATGCAACAAATAGAACCACTTTGAATGTTTACACTGTGATTTCAGCTTCCTGAATTCTCGACTGCGTACAGCAACACTACGCCATCAACGAGAGTCGCAAGCAGTACTCATTTATACGCTTCTTCGTTGCTACCTAATTAACAAGCATTTCCAGTCTGCAGCCAAACTTGTTTCAAAGGTAAAACATGCCTTTTCTTTCTCATTAGAAGCTGCATTCATACATTGCTTGATCCTATGGTAGCAAAGGCCATTTTCTATTATCAGCGTCCACCAGCGATTCGGAAAGTAGATATCGATCTAGCAGACGCCAGCGCTCATCCTACTAGCGGGCGGCAGCGTTTTCGCGGGCAGTTCTGCTCAAGTTCGAAAGTGCCTGCGAAAACGTTGCTTGGACGCCGGCTTCTGCTAAATCTGTTTCTTTACTTTCCTAGTTTCTGGCGCTGGTGTACGCTCGAAACGCTGCTGGACGCTGACGCAAAGCATGAATGCAGCTTTAGTCTATTGAATCACTGGGCGCATCCTCCTGAAATAGTGCCGGTGTATTTGGTAACTATGGTGCACTCTACTACACTCATATTTGCCCATCGGGGGACCGTCTATCCAAGAATTGGTACGGGAGGGGGGAGGGGAGAAGGAGAAGACTTGACAGGACAGAAACATCGTGATTGGTGGCAGGATGTGATAGCAATCAGCAAGATTGGTGTCTTCAGAAAAAAAAGAGTCACCGATTCATAACCAATACATATCTAGCGACTAATATCGTCGACTGGGGAGAGTATATTGAGCGCCTGCGCCTGAAACGTAAAAAAAAAACAATCGAAAAATTCTATGGTAAGCCTAATAAACCCTTGTTGTGTTCCCAACAACTAAGATGTGTTAGGAGAGACAGGAAGCATTCAAGAAACAAGGCCTAAAGTTCAGAATGATGATATGCTGTCGACGGTAAGCTTCATGAGTGACCACTCATAGAACCGGGACAATCTAAGCTCTTCAAAACTGTCAATTCCTTTATTACGCTTTTACTTTTAGGTTACGTTCCCAGAAGGAGCTAGCAACAATGATCTCGCACGATTTTTGTACTATCAAGGCCGCATAAAGGCTTTGCAGCTTGATTACACCGCCGCTGCAGGATACTTCTTACAGGTGTGGTTTTTGTGATGTTGCTACTAGGTTGGTGAATGAGTTCCCATTGTTTTATTCATCTTCCCGTAGACTGTTGTTCATTCACCAGAAATGTTGCAATTCTATGCTTGGTAATATAACATTCAAGGCAATGCGCAAGGCGCCACAAGAGGCAGCGATTGGTTTCAAACAGAATGTTCAAAAATGGGTTATCGTTATTGGTTTGCTTCAGGTATTCCTGATAACATATTCTTTTTTGTTTCCAATACATCATGGTTTTCGAGTCGAAAAGCACCTAGTGGTTTAGGGAGAGATACCTGAAAGATCCATTTTCCGTCAGCCAATCTATAGGAAATGTCTGCATCCTTATCTGGAATTAACTCAAGGTAATTTGTTACTTTTATGTTTTCGTCCCTTTCACATTTATTGGTGAGAGATACTATAAAAAGGAAAAAGTGACGAAAGCGCAAAGTGAAATGGTGCAGACCTCCGGGGAAGGCCTTGTCTGTGGTCGTGTGAATGGCTAGATGGCAGTATAAACCATATGCCTGCTCAAGGGCGCAATAATCTTTCATGAATCTTATTAACCCTATACACCTTATCGATATTGTGCCTTTTGCCTTCACAAGATACTTTTAAACTCTCACCTCGAATTATTCAAGCTTTATTTTTTTGCAAACAAAATATCGTACTCTATATCACACTCCAGTCTGACGACGTATTTTTGTGTCAGAGGATACATGAAATGCCAGCCAGACTTCGTGAAATGTTTATCATTAGCAATATGTTCTGAAGTGTAGCCTTGTTTCTGCTCTATTGTTTCAGTAATATTTCACTTTTTGTGCTTATTTCAGCTGTTCGTACTGGAGACCTTGCCCAATTCAACAACTTGGTCAAACGTCATGGACCGATTGTAAGCATTTCAAAAGCATTTCATCCAGGATTTGCGAGGATTGGTTACTAGTCATGTTATACTCGATATCAGTTTTCGACGAATTTCAGTTCGAAAAAGATGAAACGCTCACCCTCATAGTTCGACTTCGACAAAATGTCATCAAAACTGCAGTTAAACAGATATCGCTTGCTTATTCTCGGATTACCATCAAGGTAAACATACACGGTACCATGGGATTAGGAAGTCATTAATTTTCACACACGTTTTTTTAGGACATAGCGAAAAAGCTGTGTATGAGTAATGAGGTCGAGACGGAATATATGGTGAATATTACTTCGATAGCTTTCTAATTTTATGATCAGATGGATTCAAAGGCCTATGAATTCTAGGTAGCGAAAGCCATAGCAGATGGAGCAATAGATGCAGTGATTACGTGTGATACAAAAGACGGGCTGAGGTTTATGCGAAGCTCTGAAACAGTGAATGTCTACACTACAACTGAGCCACAAATGCATTTCGACAGCAGAATTAGGTTCGCATTGTGCAGTATCGCAGTAAGAAAATTCTGTAGTGCTGCATTTATAGGTATTGCTTGGAATTACATAACCAAGCCGTGAAAGCCCTCCGGTTCCCACCTAAGAACAAGTGCGATGTGGAGAGTATAGAAGCTCAACGAGAAAGAGAGCAGCAGGTTTGTTCCTGTGACTCTTTTTTCGTGGTGTGTTTGCGCCTAGGACAAACTGCACACTTACCTTCGAGGATCCTGATCCCTGCCATGTGCGAGGTTAATGGCTCAACAGCTGCTGTGCCACTCTCCGCTCAGCAGTGCGCAGGAACAGGGCTGGAGGGTACTGACTGCCACATGTCGTTTTGGAGTCCATCCACCGCTGAAACACCGAGCGCGACATGCCGCACGACGCCACGCGTAACTATGGTGAAACGCGCTACTTGTCTGCGCCCCCTTACGTTTCATTGATCTATACTTTTGGAAGGTAGCTTGCCGTTGTTGTTCGCTGTGAGACGTCAGCTCGACGCACGTATGGGCACGATGTAGATGGAGTCAAAAAATGCATCAGGGCATCACCGCCCTCTAGCGGGAGACGGTCAAAACAATCGTACCGCGACGTCGCGCGCGGCGATCTTTTCAATTGCATGAGCCTATCGACTGGAGCGTCGGATTGCATGCAGACTACGGGATCGTATACGGTTATGGCTAGTTTTGTCAAACATTGTACATTGCCGTCATCTACGACCTTGGAATATCGTCATTTGCTGGCGCGATGTCGCCGCGACGCCCACGAGCGCGACGATCCACGATTGTCTTGTCCCATACCCCCACCACCCTCAGCCTTGTTTCCATGCAGTTTAAGAAGAAGAAAGTGACATGCTACATGTTCCATTCACCTCGCACATGGCCATGATCTACTTAGCAAGTGAGCGGAAAAATTAAACTTGAGCGCTTTAGTTCGAATCGATTCTGAATAGGTAGTGTTGTTGGCATGGAAATGAAAATTCTGTATATTCAGGAGCTGGAGTTCGCGAAGGAAATGGCGGATGAAGATGACGAAGACTTCTAAATTATTTCACAGTCCTATTTATGAATTATCTGACGCGTGTAATTATGCATATACCCGAAACTTTTCACATACTGTCTTTGTAGGTCGAATTTCGTTGACGGTGTTCATCAGTAACAATAAATAATTTTGTTTTATTCTGCAGTCTCATCCATTTTGTTGATCACGATCGATATCTAATTTCCTTCCTTCGTGCGAAAATGCCACAGATTTGGCTGGCAATTCATCGGTCTGCTCAGTATTTGCAGATGATGCGTCTTTGGCAGCGAGTGCAACATGCGCTCGATACTGCAATGGGTCTTGGTCCTCGTTTTCCTCCACTCGATCCGGCAGTGGCACTGAATGGCTGTGGTTCTCCGCAATCGTCCAACATCCGTGGATACGGTATCAGAGAGATTGTGGAAGATATGCGAATACTGCTGGGTGTTCCTAAGCGAAGAACTGCTAAACGTATGTGTGGCTTTTCTAAGTCGGGCACAGGAGACGTCCAGTAGCCGAGACATCTTCTGTTTTGCGAACTACGTCCCCCCCCCCTCCAGATTTCTCCCTGT